CTCCCTCCCTCCCTCCCTCCCTCCCTCCCTCTCCCTCCCTCCCCCTCTCTCATTTCAGAATTATATTCCAGGTATCTAATGAAGCCAATTATGAGCTATGACTGTTTATGTAATAACTTTTTATTGATTTATAACATTTTTTCACAACCAAGATGATGAACTTTATCAGGTATACATCCTCAGTTCGAAAAAAAACTGGATATTCTATGTGGATTTTTTTTTTTATGTGAAAGCCAATATCCTTTTTAAACTCATTTTAATGGACAATTGTGAGAAAGAGATCCATCACTCCCCAAAATCTCTCTAACCTAAGAATATTTCATTTTAGTTACCCCAATGTTGCAACTTTTGTTACTTGAATGTTGATATCATTAAGAAATGGTATAAACTATATAATCTGTGTTATCTATGTAAGGATATTATTATGTAAATATTGCAAATCACATCACATTTTTCTCCATTCATTTTGTCCAATAAAATTTAATTGTAATAGATAGTCTTGACCAGGAGTGGCTAACCTTTTGGCTTGCCTGGACCACATTGAGTGAAGAGGAATTATCTTGGGCCACCTATAAAATATGCCATATAGTTAATGTGTATGAAAAACAAACTTCCTTTATTTTTTGAGGTCTTGTGGGGTCACATTACTAGCTGTCCAGGGCTACGTGTGGCCCACGGGCTATAGATTGGACACGTCTAGTGTAGATTGTTCTATGAAGTACAATGTTTTTTTTAAATGTTATGCAATTATTTGAAACATGAAACATTTAGTTTCTCTTCCGTAAGCAAAAGAGATGTTGAAAGATTACTTTGAAAATAAAGGAAACTACCAGAAAAGAAAATCAAAAGGAACAAATGAAACTTTACCAGAAACTGATCAACATACAAACTGTATGGTTAAACTATCAACATTTCATTCATCTTTGGAAAATGGTATTTGAAGATTCCTATAGTTATGAAAAGTTTTAATCGGCAGTGGAGTAAAAAGCTTAATCATTCACTATTAATTGTATAGTTTGAAACTATCAGCAAAAAGAAGAGAAAATTTAAATGAGAAGGTGAGTGCTTATTATTATTTGTTACCACATATTGTTAAGTTTTTAACATTTTTTAAACTGTTTTTCTTTCTCAGAGAAAATCTCAACACATACCAACTGCTTTTATTGCTGTTTTGTGTATGTTTGCATGCATGTGTTTGAGTCAGTGTTGAATTCTGGCAACTGCCTGGACAAGTCTCTGCAGTTTTCTTTGCAGACTTTCAGAAGTGGCTTGCCATTGTCTGCTTCTTAGGACTGAGAATGAGCGACTAGTCCAAGGTCACCCAGTTGGCTTTGTACTTAAGGTGGGACTAGAACTTATGGTCTCCTTGGACTTGTCTGAAATGTTATAGGGTTTCCTGCTTGAACAGGGTTTTCTTCTTGGACTAGAAGAACCCCAAAGTCCCTTCCAAGTCTGTTATTCTGATAGCTGAATAAAAAGTCCAGATCTAATCTAATCGTTTGTCTGATAGTGTGACCAATCTAATAATTTTAAATTTATTGGCTGCCCATCTCCAGTGAACTCTGGACAGCATTCAAAAGTAAAAAAAGATATTAAAAACAAAAAATTATTAAACCAAAAGACACTCTGCTCTATTATTTGCTCTAATAACAGAAGCTACAAAATAAAACAAGAGTCACTAGTGTTGAAGTGAACACAAGTACATTCCTTATTCAGATCTGACAGCTAATGGAGATTGAGGATCAGCTTCACAGAATCAGGGCCTTTGGTTTCATGTCTAACTAGCCTGATCTGGAATTCTAAGATATATGTATGGGGAATTTCTCTGGTGAAGAGATGTGGTAAATCTACTGTTTCTGTCTCTTCTATCTTTTCTCCCTTCTCCCTATAAAATGTGACACTGGTCTACAATATGAAGAGAAACCAGAACAGTTCCCTCTGATGGTAGATAATTAACCTTAGAACTGTGATTCTGCCTTTCATCTGTGCTGATCTGATTGGAGTTTTTAAGGCTAACTATCTTTGAAGAAATTCTGGGACATTGAAGGGAACCTGGGACTCCGTAGAGCACGGGTGTCAAACTCGATCGCATCACATGATGTATCATGATGTATAGTGATGTTTTTTGCCTTTATGGAGAGCGTGGCCTGCTTATGGTGAGCGTGGCCTGCACATGACGCCTCTGGCCTGGGGGCCTGCCTGTTTGACACCCCTGTTGTAGAAGTTTTGTTTTATTTTGTCTTCTTATTTCTTTTAACAAGTGGATCTAATAGCAAACATTCTTGACAAACGGGGTAGCTAAGTCTCCCAGTCTTGGTAGTTTTGTGGCAAAAATGCAATTTGTTAAGAAGCAGCAAGGGACTGTGGGCAAGTGAAATGAAAAAGAATAATTTGGGAATTAATCAGGTGGAGCATTAATAATTACACTGAATGTTTTGCTCTCGTATTCAGCAGGGGAAAGAGCAGCAATGGCAAAGCAGCCAATAGTACCTTATTCAAAAAAAATTGGTCTTGCCCACAAGTGAGTGCTTCACGCAACAAAGAATATTTAATGAACATGAAGCCCTACAGCATTGCTCTGACTTTAAGCCTCATTGTTGTCATCATTGAAGCTCGAGGTAAGTTTTCTATTCATACATTTTATTCTTCACTTCCCTCTTTGCTCCTTCTGATCTTTCTTTTCCTGATAAAGAATCAGACATCTCTTAGGTTAATAGTCAGTTGCAAGCCTCTCCATTAGCAGTGAAAAGACTATGCCCTTACTTGATAATGGGAAAGCCATTAGGAAAAAAAGCCATTATGTACATGGAGTAAATTGATACTAAATACAATATAATTCAGTCACTGGGATTCTTACAATTCCATTCCATTCTTCTTAATAAATTTGCTAAAAAGAACTCTGTGAGATTCATGCTTGTAAATAATCTCATTTAGTCTGAATGCAGATCAATGATGGCTAATACAAATACCCAGTGCTTTTTTTTGTAAAAAAAATAAAAAAAAGGTGTTGGAACTCACACACATCATACAACCCGCCTTGCCTACCCTACAAGGTTCCATCCCAAAAAGGTGCCGGAACTCCATTCTGGGCGTTCTATGATAAAAAAGCCATGCAAATACCCCTTCTTCAGTAGAGACCAAAACTTGTGTCCCTTCATAAACCACTGTAAAAGTTAGATCTAAAAAAACTCTTCTGAAATACTAGCAATGCTAAACTACCCTAATCTCTGAGATATTGTTGTTTCAAAAAATAGAGAAGACTCACCACCATAGTCCCTAACAGCAACATTTCTGAGAATGTTGGTAACTCCCTTCTGAGGTGGAAATTATAAAGAGATCTCCAGCCTGTCTACTGAGACTATTTTATGCAGCTTTTTGCTGAAAAAAATTGTCCAGATTAACAAAAATCTTGACTGTTTGTGGGTGGAGGCCAATGTGGTAACTGAAGTAATGTCTTGTCATGTCAGCTGGAATTCTGATACTGATGATCCTCTTTGGTATGTCCTCCGCCACTTGTGGGCTGGAACCATGCCCCATGTAGCTCTTATGTGGAGCTGGAGAAGGTGTGACAAGCTGGAGCTGGGAGGTTATCAATACTTCACTCCAGCAAGGAGTGGCACCAGCAGATTTGAATAGGATTGCAATGTTCCTTTTCCTTGAGAGGCATTCTTTGAATGTGACTGACAACTATTGCATAGTGATGAGGTTTGGAAAACAATGGAAAAAGGATAGATATAAACTATCAAGACAAAAACATGAGTTGGTTGACATCGTATTTCATAAATGACTATTTAGTTCAGGTAGAAAGAAACTTGGGGAAAAGTTTTTTAAATAATTCAGAGAAATTCCACATGAACACACTATACACAAAAGTGGGATATTTATTTTATAATTTACAATATTCTTAGCTATCTCAGTCTAGTATCAAATATACTCTACTGAAATCTGTGTTGTTTGTGCTTCCTTAATCTCGCCCAGCTAGGTAGGGTTTGACACTATGGTCATCACAGTAGGTGACTTTAGTTGGGATCTGGTTGGGAATAATGTGCAACCTTTTACACCATGAATATAGTATCCTTCTGGACCAACTGCAAAGGCTTGAGCTCCTGCTTTAGTGGGTCGTTTCAGATGAGGGTTATATGGGAACAGAGATTACCCTAGGTAATCATTTCTTTGTGGGAAACTTTTCTCCCCAACCACCCATCTTCAACATTAACATGAATGTACTTAGAATATCATCTGAAACTTGTCCTTGGAAATTGCCAGAATTGAATGGGACAAAACAGGCTAAATCTGGATCCAAATAGGATAGTGTTGCTGCTTTGTGCAGTGAGGTGCTTTACCAATTCCAGTACTGTCTCTTGACAGGGAAGCTGTATCCTTTATGAAGGTACATTGTAACTTGAAGGTTCTCCTAGATTTGTGGCTACTATTGGATGGGCAGGTGGACTCTCACAAACATCTTTGTTTAAATTTGAATGGCTTGCCAGTCGCAGCCCTACTCGGAGCAAGAGAGACCTTTGATGCCACCTCACTCCATTGTAATTACTTGAATAGACTACTGCAAGATTCTCTACATAGAGCTGCCTTTGAAAACCATTCAGAACATTAAATTAAGGCAGAATTTGATGGCCCATTTGTTAGCTGGCACTCCTTACTATGAACATATTATATCAGTGTTATGAGCTCTGCATTGGATGTCAATTGGTTTCTGGATATAATTCAATATGTAATTCAATAAAGCCTATAAAGTTTGGCACTTGGATACTTCCAGGGCTGTCTTTTTCAGTCAGAATCAAACTGATATAATTATTGCCGAATGTTAGTTCCCCACTTCTGTGAAGTAAGGGATAAAACTGCAGTAATATGCCCAGATGTTTCTCAGTAGGAGCATCTCTGCTTTGAAACAGCATCCCAGTGGAGACTTGAATTACCTCTGCTATTATATTTTTTGGAAGTTATTGAAATGGACCTCTTTCAAAGGGTGTGTAGAAATTTAGATGCTCCTTGATATGATAGAAATTATGTTGTTCTATCATATTACATGGTTATTTTGATTCTTAAAGATTCTTTTAATGTGTTTACTCTGTATGTTTCAGCTCTATAACATGGATATTTTAATTATATTATTGTATGTAAATGTTAATTACTGGGAGTCTGTCTAGATTACAGTTGTATACAAATACGATAAGTAAATAAAAACACTAGAGTAAGCCTTATTTTTATGGAAATAAAATAATGAATGAAATTCTCAGCTTCAGGGGACAAAATATTTTTGACCAGATTTACCAGCCCCTCATCTTTGGTACACTCCTTCCTGTTTTTCTCCCAGCAGGGCTCCTACCCAAAACATTATACAAGGTACAGGGACACACTCTTCTCCAAAGGTTTTGCAATTTACACGGTCTGTGAGAAGCCTTTTCCTACAACATTTATGCATACAGTAATGTGCAATCTGCCCAATTTGTTTCCCTTCTTTTGGGGGCGTACATGTGAACTTGTCCAGTTACTTGTACTGTTCATATTATTTAGGTTCACACTCAAATAAGAGTTTTAACACACATGTATCCAAACATAGGGATTTTCTTTTCAATTTTTGTAGAAAAAAGCTCATATAATTGAAAGATGCAAACACTTCCTCCCAGTTGCATTTATCAAAAATTTATGACTACACAAGGCTGGAGAAGAACAACCATTTTTACTTCATTGGTGGCTTTTTTTTGGTCAAAAGATGTATTTCTATGTTCAGAGCCTGAGAAAAGTTCACATTCTAGGTATCTTTTATCAGTTAGGAGATTGGCGTCTTTGCCAGTTCATACAGAGGCCTTGGTCAACAATTGGAAAATGTCTGCATTAATCCGATAAGGGATAAAATGGATTCTAAAACTGAACATTACAAAAACATTAAGACCATCCTCTAAAGTTCTGCTCCACTTGCTCTCTCATGCTTAAATATGGGCAGGGACAACTAGGAGTTATACTACCCTGGGGCTTTCTAATTTTCTTTTCTGTTCAATCTGAATTTTAAAAGGCAATTTTAAAATGGAAAAACTTTGTAGAATGGTATGAAATTAAACAAAAGTATATTTCTTAATAGTGCTTAAATACCCAAGTAAATAAATAATATTAAAACATTTTTTTTAAATTCCCATTTCTTGTCTTTGCTATTTTTGCTCTTGCTGTAGCTATTACTCAAGACACCAGTTTAATGTCTTTAGGAATATTCTCTTTTTCTTTTAGAGAGCCGGCTGCATGAAACCTTATGCTGTTCCAATGACTACACCTCACATATAAGCTGCACCTGGTCTGAGCCTCGGGAGGGAAACGCCTTTGTCAAGATGCACCTTTTTGAAAAACACAATGATTTGTGAGTGGCTGAGCATTGATTCATTTACAGGAACTTGGGTATATGAAAAAGAAAAGGCGGGGCAAAAGAGGACTTCTAGAGGGGTGTAATGCTAAGACACTGGAGCTCATGGAATAGTTGCAACTCCCAAAAGGGCAGGTCAGAACTGTATATCACTGATACTTCACAGGTTCTTAATGTTCTAATGTCATTCTTATTTCAAGGAAATAATTCATTCAAGTAAATAATTAACAATAAAGAATTAAACATTCTGTACTTTGGGAGAAAAAAAAATAGAAGATAAATGTTAAGAGAAGTACCATTTAAACATAAATTATGTATTTTTAAAAGAAATGTGCCCTTTCAGATATTATCAAGAGGGAATAAATTTATGGGTGAATACTTAAAAAATTACCACTGTGTCAACTTGGCTTTCTGAAAGTTATTTTCCTTCAAGAAAGAGGAAAGAATTCCCCTAGGAAGAGTTTTCTTAGTAGTCTTCCTGTAGGGTTTAACACTTTATCTGATGCACAGGAAGACTAGAAGACATCAAACTACAAGCGATAGAATTAAAAAAAGAAAGATGGGAGCATTTTATGCACTCACTAGGACATGCTTTTCACACATTTTATCTCTGGAAACTGCTGAAATTTTCTTCTCTTCAGATAAGAAATCTCAATATAGTTCATTTTTCATGATACTGAATGAGAAATATGGAAGAAGAAGATGAAGGAATTTTGGCACAGAATATGCAGAAGTGTCACCAGCACAAATATTGTGGATTTATTTATTTATTCTTGTTTAAGGGCTTTCCCTTATGGCTAAATTAAAGTGCTACCTATCAATGCTTAAGCAAGTAGAACAATAGAGCAATATATATTTTTCTGCCATCACTGGTGACCTCTGGCCTGCCACAGCTGTAATGTTGGCAAATGGTCTGTGCTATTTTTTTAAAGTCATACAAAAAATTTGAAAGAAAGATTGTTAGATTTGCTCTGGGATGTAGGTGAATTTTCAGAGAAGGTTAAACTAATGAGTTTAGCCATCTGTTAAAATATGTTCAGGTTTTGAGCAAATGTTTTGCATGGTACATTCAAAGGGAGTCCAAATGAAAGCTGATGCAATACTATTTCTGGACTAGCTCTGTTAAATTCATTTTCAGCCAAACAATAACTAATAGGCATGGTGAGAATTTCATCATGAAGAAGCAGAGCTCTCTTGCTCTCTCTTCACATGCAGATTTGTCTAGCCTCATTGCTAGTAAACTTTTCTTCAGGCTGATCCAGAATTCCAGATTGAGGGTGGGTTTATAAGTCTGACAGATACAGAAGGAAAGCCTGTGGAAAACAACTAGATTTTCCTGCTGCCCAAAGACAGTGGCCTTGGAAGATTCTGTCTATGGATTGGAGGGGAAAGAGCATGCTTATACCAGTAGAAAATGGCTAATAATAGCTGATCCTGTTCCCTGGGTTTAGCGGGCTATGCTATCAACAGCATGGTGAAGGAGGAGCCCTAGTGGTGCAGTGATTAGAGGGCAGTGTTTCAGGCTAACTTTGCCCAGAGTCTGGAGTTCGATCTTGACAGGGCTCAAGGTTGACTCAGACTTCCATCTTTCTGAGGTCGGTAAAATGAGGACCCAGATTGCTGGGGGCAATATGCTGACATTGTAAACCACTCACAGAGTGTTGTAAAGCACTATGGAGTAGTATATAAGTCTAAGTGCTATTGCTATGGCTATTGCAATGGTGAGGGAAGTGTGTTATAGTGAATCCATAGCAAATTCAATGTTGGGATAAGAGGACAAACAGTACAGGTAGTCCTTGACTTACAACAGTTCTTTTAGTGACCATTCAAAGTTACAATGGCACTGAAAAAAGTGATTTATGACCATTTTTCACACAACCATCGAAGCATCCTCATGGTCACATGATCAAAATTCAGAGGCGTGGCAATAGACTCATATTTATTCACGGTTATGTGATCACCTTTTGCAATCTTCTCAGAGCAAAATCAATGAGAAAGCCCCATTCCCTTAACAATCTTGTTACTAACCTAACAATGGCTGTGATTCACTTAACAGCTGTGGCAAGAAAGGTCGTAAAACGGGGCAAAACTCACTTAACAAATATCTCGCTTAACAACATAAATTTTGGGCTCTGTTGTGGTCATACATCGAGGACGACCTGTACTACAAAACTGGTACAGTTCACGATGACTTCAATTGAAGAGAACATCATGAGGACACCACAGAAAAAGAGAGATTGTTGGGAAATGTTTGTGCTGCAATGAGATAAACATGAAAGATCTAAGGCTGATTTCAGACACAGTGCTTCTTTCTCATTGCTCTGCCCTTAATGGGTAATTTATATTGGGAGACATCTTTGAACTAAGGCAGGGGTAGGCAACCTTGGCTCTTTTATGACACGTGGACTTCAACTCCCAGAATTCCTGAGCCAGCACAGCTGGCTCAGGAATTCTGGGAGTTGAAGTCCACACATCATAAAAGAACCAAGATTGCCTACCCCTGAACTAAGGAGTGCTATTGATTTTGGAGGAGCTGATGGTATGAAGTACTACTACTATCTCTCCAGTAGCTACCAAAAAGAGTATGTAAGAACATGAGATCAAGGCTTGCTGAATTAGGCCAAGGTTCATGAATCCAGCCTTTTCTTTCTCTCAATAGTTAGTCAGATGTCTCTGAGGTGTTTTCAAGAAGGAGAGGGAGACATAGCTGTCCCCCAAGACTAAGAGCCCTTAATAGAGCTTTCTGTCACAAATTTATCTGATACCATTTCAAAGCCATTATTGTCTATCATCTCACTTTGTGGTAATGAATTCCATAATTTTATTTATTTGCTGCATAAAGAAGTGTTTTTCTTATTTATTCTAAATCTCTTCACTGGGTAACCCTGGTTATCTCTATTCACTTTGTCTAAATCATACATCATTTAATAGAGCCCAATAATTCTCCAGCCTAATCATTTTTTTCCTAAGCTAATGAGTCCCAAATGTTTGAAACTGTTTTTCTTTTTTAAAAAAATACCTTTACTATTTTTTTGTTGGGGAAAATGGGGAGTAGAAAGGAGAGAAGGAAAGAGGAGGAGTGAATAAACTGAGGAAAGAAAAAGAAAAGGGGGAAAAAACCCAGTAACTTCCATTTTTTTGGTGCAATTCTATACAGTTATATATACAATTATAACATCACATTTTTACTTATCTAAAATAGTAAACACTAGCCATTTCTATATCCATGACCTATTTAGTCGTCAAAACCCAAAATCAAAGTTTCATTTTTTTGCTCTTTCAAGCAGAAAGTCCAGAAGCAGTTTCCAAGTGGAAACAAAATTATTTACCTTCTTATCCTTAATGAATGCAATTAACTTTGCCATCTCTACCAGTTCCACCATTTTTTCAATCCATTCTTTTGTTGTGGGAATTGATGTCTCTTTCCATTTTGAGCATATAGGTTTCTTGCTGCTTTCAATATATATAATGACAAATTTCCATTTTTCCATGTCTTTATTTAATAATCCCAAAAGAAAAGCTCATAGTTTCCATTGTAAATCCATTTTAAGAATCTTAAATCTTCAACAACTTTCCCCTTTCCAATATTTCCATGAAAGAGAGAGACTCAGAGGGGAGGTTTTGCTATTCTCAATGACTGGCTTGATCCCTCCTCCCTCATCTGAAGACACGATGGACTAACTCTACCAGGTGAAGAGAAATAAAAGGCTGTGACACCACTTGCACAAGGAAGAGATAATACCCGAATGCTGTACAATAGTAAAAAAATGTTGGGTAGTGATGGTAAAACCGGCAGTTGTATTAAACATTTTGTTGAATAGATAGACTGTGGTCCAATCAAAGCATTGACCTAAACTGAAGTGTTGTGTTTAGTTCTTTCTGTATGGTTAGAAATCTTGTTCTTCTAGCTCTCTCTACATGATTGGAAATCATTGTCAACTGTAGTTTGAGAATTCTATTCAGGTTCAGTTATAGATGTGTGGGTTTCCCAATGAATATGTACATATGCTCATGGCAGTGTATGTAATCATGCTTCCTTCACCACATATTAATTATAGTTTGAGGAAATACAAGTTGAAGTTCCCTATTGTGAAGATGAGAAAATATAGTTTGTTAGCAATGGAGAAGTGGACACCATCTGCCCTTTTGTTCTCTTTCAAAGAATGAAGAAGTGGTGTTTCAGCTGTTGTCTTCTGCCTCTGTTACTCTGAAAGAGGAACTGTTTTTCAATCTGCCAGGGAAGGAGTTAAAAGCAGGGTGACAAAGAGGAGTGGGTAGTTTTGTGACCATGTAACATTTCACATATGAAAACCAGGAATATCTATAACAGTTTTTCTAGAAGTTGGTAAAAACTAAACTGGAAGGGATTGATTGTTTCACATCAGTAATTGTTCTCTTTTGTAACTGTTTACTTTATTATTATGTTGCTTATTTCATGGTCTGAATCCCAACCATTTTATATTGTTTGGCTTGATGGGAAGAATTTTGGAGAATTTGAAAGCATGCACATTTCTTTATTAACTTTGTTAGTATAACAAAGGTATTAATTTAATTTTGGAATTATTCATATTGTTAATGTAAGAAACCGTTGCTTTTTTCAATAAAACAAAGTTCTGCTGTTTACAGAAACCTCACAAAGATGATCTGCAATAGCAAAAAACTAGACTCCGAGATACATTGGCACTGTAGGAGGAATGAAACCAGATTCAATTCTCTACTGATTAATTCATTCATTTTCAAACCTGATCGGAAGTTGGAAATACAACTGAATGTTGACCTCTTCAAGAACAGTATGTATCTGCATATCCATGTGAAAATATTCCACATCCACCTTCCTCTAATCAAGTACAGAACATCAGACCAATGTTCTACCTCAAGCAATTTGAAACAATTTAAAAAGGTGACTATCCTGAACAACTGCTGAAAAGATAGTTTCAGTGACAACTTTGAAGTACAGCAACTTCAGAATGATCACCAATTAAAACATCAAGGGACTTTTTCTTGCCAGCTTAGTTGTTAGGCAGCATGGTGAAAAATTCCCAAATAGAACCCAAATCTTATATTTCAAGAATTGAAATACAATTCTCACACAATTGAGTCCCAACTTTCTGTTGCTAAGTGAGACATTTATTAAGTGGGTTTTGTCCCATTTTACGATCTTTCTTGCCACATTTGTTAAGTGAATCACTGCAGTTGTTAAGTTAGTAACACAGTGGTTAAGTGAATTGAGTTTCCCCATTGACTTTGCTTGTCAGAAGGTCGCAAAAGGGGATCACATGACCCTGGGACACTGCAACCATCATAAATATGAGTCAATTGCCAAGCATTTTAATTTTGATTATGTGGGGATGTTGCAATGGTTGTAAGTGGGGAAAATGCCATTGTACCTTTGAATGGTCACTAAAAGAATTGTTGTAAATCAAGGACTACCTGTATAGACACTTAAAACTGACTGACTGCTAAGCAAAGTAGTGCTTTGTAGACCAAAGCTTCTCCACTCGCTTCTCTCAGATCTACCTTGGTGTTGTGCAACATACTGTTGGGAAATTCCCAGCTAGGCAAGGAGGAGGGATCCAGTGGGAGTTAGCCTTGAGTCACTCGACAGCCACCTAGGTCTGCCCCACCCCCTAAGTCCCATGGAACCTTAACTGTTTGCTTCTAAGGGAAGATGAGCAGTCTGGGAAGATCCTTCTACTATAGGTAGAACACAATGAAACTCACCTTGAACCTTTCATGTGTGGATCTGGTTGCTTGGGCCTAACATTGGTTCAGCAGTAATTCCAGAATGCCCCGTTGCTGTCAGCACCGGCTACTCATTACCATGGAGGTTTCTCAGAGACATTTGGGGGAGAAGCAGACAAGATGAGAACCTTCATTGCTCACGGCAAGTTGCTTATGGGAACCCAACCTGCAGAATTCCCTAAAGAGCACACAAGAGGGTCTTTTGTGCTAAGCTAGTTAAAGGAATTGTCAGCTAAGTGAGCCCTGCCCATCGTAGAATGAAACAACCAACTCATGGACATTACCAGAACTTTATGGACAGATTCAGAGGTCATTTTGGAGACCTGATAAAGAGTCGTGAGAGCCAGCTGCAAGATTTGGCAGCTCAGACAAGGCAACAGAAGGGTGAGGCTTTACATAGCTGATTTCAAGTTCTTGGCAGCAGATGCAGATTGGAACAAAGCAGCCTTGATAGACCAGTTCAGGCGGGTCCGCACAACAACATCTGGACTGAGCTGGTTAGACAAGGAGTTCCATGGAATCTGGGACAGTTGTACCAACTTGCTTGCTTCTGTTTGGAGGAAATGCAGATGGAACTAGGACAATCAAATGAGCCCAGTCCTAGGTCTCACTTTGTGAGGTTTCTCCCCTCATGCTGCTCACAGATAACTTGGAAGAGGGAGAGGTCTATTGTGGGGAGGGATCAAGCGGGAAATTAGTTTTGAGTCATTGTGAGCCACAAGAGAAATAGGATTGACCCCTTTCTCTTCCTCCTCTCCCCAAGGTCCATGAAACCTTATCTGTTTGTTCCAAGGGAAGGTGAGCAGTCTGGGGAAGTTTCTGTACTACAGATAAATCACAATAAAGCAGTCAGCTTCAACCTTTCACACATGGATTTGGTTGCTAGGGCCTGACAGTATTTTTGAGAAGCTTACTATCCTCTTTAATTAACTAGATGCTTTCTTATGATCAAGTTGGAGACTGATGCCATTTTTTTCATCACTTGATCCATGGGATTACATGCAGTGATGGGATTCAAATATGTGAACAACCAGTTCTCTGTGTGAATGCCTCTTCCAGAAATCCATTCTGGGCCTGAGCAACAAAAAATTAGCCACCGGTTCTAACGAAGTGGTGTGAACCAGCTGAATCCCACCATGGTTAGATGGCATTCCAAGCTTGCATCATTAGACTCAGAGCACCTTTTTTCTTTCTCCAGATTGTTATATGGAATGTGCAGAAAAGTTACCAATGATCTGACAATCAAAGATTTTGACTGTTCCATCTAGTTTCTTTTCTCGTTTTCCTGGCCATGATAGAGATATTTTTATTGCATTAAATATGTAGGGCATATTCCCTAAATAATGCCTTCCAGACATATTTAATTGAAGCTCCTATAATTCTCACCAAGCATGACTATTGGCCATATTGCAACCAGAACTGAAATCGAACACACCTGGAGGGTATCAGGTTAGAGAAAATTCTCAATGTACTGTTGTACAATAAATGTACAGAAAACTCAGATTTCATGACAGCATCTTATATTTACAGATAAGAAGTTTTTCCTACAAACATTAGTTTTTCCCTACAACCATTGAAGGGAAAAATATTGGCCTTTGATACTTCTGGGCAGTATTAGTAAATGAGTGATTTCCACATGGGCAAGAATTAACCTATACCTTTCCCTCATTTTTTCTTTAGTTCAGCTTCTGCCACCTGAGAAATTAAATGTTACTGCCACAGAAGAATGTAATTTCCTACTGGAGTGGAAAGCAGGTGGAGGAACAAACAGAAATCAGTTGTTGGAAGGTGTTCCCCTGGATTTTGAAATAAGCTATAAAAGAACTTGGGAACTTTGGGAGGTATCTATGGCAATCATTATAATCACATAGTTACAGTGGTTTATATTTACAGTTTATTACGAAACTAGTAGTAAGCAGTAGATTTCTTCAACAACAAAAGCAATTGTAAGTTTTGAATGGAGTCTAGAGAATACTGTAGTGGTGTTCCAATATCTCAGGAGCTGCCACAAAGAAGAGGGAGTCAGTCAAGCTATTTTCCAAAGTGCCGGAGGGCAGGACAAGAAGCAACGGGTGGAAACTAATCAAGGAGAGAAGTAACCTAGAACTAAGGAGAAACTTCCTGATAGTGAGAACAATTAACCAATGGAACAACCTGCCTCCAGAAGCGGTGAATGCTCCAACACTGGAAGTTTTTAAGAAGAGACTGGACAGCCATTTGTCCGAAATTCCCAGCAAGAAAGAAATTTCTTTCTTTCCTGCCTGAGCAGGGGGTTGGACTCGATGACTTTCAAGGTCCCTTCCAACATTATTATTATTATTATTATTATTATTATTATTATTATTATTATTATTATTATTATTATTATTACTATTATTATTATTACTACTACTAATACTATTATTATTATTATCTGTAGCTCAAAAACAAACTAAAACTCTAATCTTATGACATCTTCAGCCTTCCTTCCTTCCTTCCTTCCTTCCTTCCTTCCTTCCTTCCTTCCTTCCGTCCTTCCGTCCTTCCGTCCTTCCGTCCTTCCGTCCTTCCTAATATGATAGTCCAAAATCCCTAACTTCTTTGAACAATGACCTTTTAAAAGTTTGCCAAATAAATAAATAATCCAGCTGATGAGGCTATGAGCAGGGATGAACCCTAAAACAATCTCAAATGAACTTTCACTCCATGAGTGGATTAATCAAAAACTGAAGCTGGCTGTATTTATGAAAGTTTATTTTGAATATGGACACGCTGCAACCTAGTGTTTGTAGGTAATATTTGGTTTCTCAACCAAGTTTTGTAGACCCTGGACCCCCAGCACTGGGCTATTAGCATTCAATAACATCAGGATGAACTACAGTGCACAATTTATTTTTCAAAGAAGCCAACAATAAAATAAGTACAGAAAAACTCCAGTAAACTTAAATACCAGCATTTTATTTTTAAAAATACCCCCCCATTTGTCCATATCCCCAAAAATAATGGGAGGAGAAAATTAATTTTGTTCATTTATTTATTAAATGTTTATAACCATCCATCTACAAACAGGACTCTGGGCAACATACCCATAAAAATAGTTAAGAGAAACAAATCTTTCCACCCAATATTATTACAATTTTCCATAATTTTCCATCAGATAAATTAGATATTCTGAAATATTTAATACCCAATATTTAAACATAGGAAATCATTGCATTAAATAAGAAACAAGTTTAGAATGTTTATTTTCCTAGAACAGATAAATTGTTTGTTTTTTCCATATTTTTATACCAATCTCTCTCCTTACACATTCTAGGAATCTTCCTCTGTATTGGTCTCAAATAAGTCTCATTATTGTCTCCGACACAGTAACGTTGTGCCTGGCAGCAGATATGTTGCCAGGGTTAGAAATAAGCCAAGTCCAGGAAGTGGATTTGCTGGCCGTTACAGTGACTGGAGTCCAGTGGTAACTTGGCAAACACCAGAAAGTACCGGTAAGTTGAAAAACAGGAGAACTTTGTGTGACTATTGACTGAGAAAAAAATGAAAATTTGATGTTTGCAGATGTTTGCAGATGCTTTAAATTTCTGGAAAGGATCCTCATCAGTTAGATAAAATTTAGGCCAACCACTGCAATGTTTTGTCATTTATTAAGCTCCCATCTATCATATCAATAGGAAAAAAAGAAGTTGTTTTAACTCTTCCATTGTCCAAATTCTTGTTTTCTCACTTTAAAGACAAACAATAATTTAGAATTTAGTCTGGGTTTTGAAATATTTCATTTATCTAGCTCAAAAAATGCATGCTTTTCAGATGGGTTCAAGAATTCCTGCCAGGGGCAATACAGTTATTGCACAGCAGTGTAAATAGTAAGGAAGATGACCTTGGTGGAAGAACTATTAGCTGGGCAAAAGTGGCTGAAACTTTTTTAAAACTCCAGAACAATGAGACTGTGATTTGAAAATCTTTACAAATCTTTAGTGACTGATCTCAGAACTGCTTCTGTGTCAACAACAGAATGCATAGATTCAGGAAAGGAAGTTCTCTAGAAAAATTGACATACAAGAGAATAAGACTTAAGTAATAACTTAAGCAACATAAAACTTTATGTGAAAAAAACATTTAATGCAAAAACTGAGGTTTCACACTTTTTGTAACACCGGCAATGACTTACCTCAGATGACTTTGTCAATCAAAGGAAGTGGCTGAACAGAGTAAATGTTGCTACCACACTCTTTTTTGTTCTACTTATCCTTTTCAAGTTGATATCAATGGGGCTTCAATAGCAAACTCTTCTTCCCATTTTTAAAATCCAATATGATATGAAGGCTTCACAAAGCTAGATGGGTGGCTACTTTATCGAATTTTTACATTATGGTTTTCAAGAAAGCTTCAAGTCAATGTATTTTAGACAAGGAAAAGAGATAAAGACAATGGTTGGCAATAATTTCCTTATTATTTGGGTTTGTAATAATTAATTATATTACACTTAGAACTCATCCAAAATGAACTCTAAGATTTTCCAAGTGGGTAGTGAATCTTGAAAGGCCATTTCAAGATACCTTTTAGAACTTCAGACCTTTTAGCATAGGAAGAAGAATTTACCAACTTACCAACTATTGTCTTTATACTTCTCTTCTCCCTTCTCTTTCTCTCTCTTTTAAATAACTGGCACTTCTAATCACTTAAAGCTTTCCCTAGCTAGCTTTTTCTTGAAATGGTACTTATTCATTACATGCAGCTGCTCATTCCATTCTTCTCCAAGGCATGATACATAAAGCATCTATGGATTCTGTCTCCCAAGTAGTAGTGATAGCTGTTAGTTTTATATATGTTCAGATGGCTTTAAAAGTTGATTAGGGAAATTTACTAAGGCCAAGTCTAGCAATGATTTTTAAATCACAATGACTACAGAAAGCCAGCTACAGATGCAATAGGCCATTGGGGAGATCTTCCAAAAAATCTTCAGTTCCACACCAGCAATGAGATGAGGTCCTTTGTGTTTAGGCGACATTGTTACTGGTGGGTTGTCAGTAAAAGATTATGTTTAATTAATAGTGACTAGCCAATTCAAGTTTGCCTCTCAAATAGTTCTGATGAGTGTTTTGTGTGTCCATTGGAGAGGAATTGGCTCCTTTGTCAAGGGGGCACTGAAGCAAACTGCTATTGCATTAGAATCAGTTGGCAGAGGAGCTTTGCAACCCTGAGAAATACAGAACATTTTCCTTTCTTTTTATGAAAGGATGGATTTTTAAAAAAAACAAGGACATGGGGTGGGTGTAATGAAGTTCGTTGGCTACCAATTTTAGATTGGCTGACAAATCTGTGTTGAACTATTAACCAGAAAGGGCAAATGTTGACTCCTGGCCACTTGAAACAGGCCCATGCTGAGAGTGCCCTGAGGCCAGGTTAGATCAGAATACTGTCAGAGTAACCCAGGTGAGTCTCAGTTGAACTTTAAAGTGAACATGCAAGAACCACAAGAAAAAGATTCTCCACTTGATACAAATTATTAGGCAGCAACAGTTACTAGCTTAGTTTTATTCTTGTGTGTCAATGTTATGGGGCTTCGGTTTTGCCTCCTTATTCTCAGAATACTTGATTATTTAGTTTTTCCGGTGTTCTTGAGCTTGATTTATGGTTGAAATTGGCAAATGTGCCATTGCTGGTATTGTCCATTGTTTTTACACATTTCTCTGAATTTCTCTGTCTGTACTGTAAAAGAGTTTTCTCATCTTCCCTTGGCTTTTGATTGTGATAAACCAAGGACCCTACAGACTGCCAAAGAAAGATGCACTATTGACATATACACGGAAATACCTTTTCTTCACTTTGTAACTAACTAGATGCAAGAACACCAGATACCCCACCTCTTTTCCTCTTCTTTGACAAAATAAAAATTAAAAAATCCTGAAAACAAATTATCTTTCTTTAAATCAAGTGAGAACTGGTACAGGATAATTTTTCAACACAATAATGAACTTTCCAAAAGAAATTGGCTAACTTTATCCGAAATAGGATGTAGAATTAGAAGGTTGTATTGGATTGATCCACGAGGATGTTTTATATGTCTTACTTACACTTAGTTTGAATGTTTGCTAGCATTGAAACATCTACTTGCTCATAGGCTTTAAAACTGCTCCAGAGGCACACACCCTAGACTCAGACACAACTGGCTAGGGGAAACCTTTACCTTTTTTTAATTTTAAATTTAGCAATGCTCTTTATCAAATTCTTCCTTCTTATTTTTGTCATATTTTTCACAATTCCAATGAATGTATTTCTTGTTTCTCCATCAGATGATGCTGTGCCCAAGAATCTTCAATGTTATTTTAATGGAATTGATCGACTCAAATGCAGTTGGGAGGTGAGACAAGAAATCAGCAATTCTGTCTTGTTCACACTCTTTTACAAAGACAAACCTGGATCAAAGTAAGAAGCTATCTTTAAATCAAATATTTTCCCAAATGACTTATTTTTAAAAATTTTTTAAATTTAATGTATATTTTTTATAAGTTCTCTCTGTCACATTTGTTTATATGCAGAGAGATGGAGTGCTCTGAAGTCTATCAAGAAGCTCTTATAAGCAATAATGCCACTTATCATGTACTGCAAAGCTGTGAGATCAATGTCACTAACTCCAGCAAGCAAAGCCAATATCTTGTCCGTGTGATACCAAAAGAAGAAGTGAAAGAGATCAAGATGTATCTGAACAGTAAGTCCCCTTTAGAGAATGCCTATTTATTTCACAAAAGCATGTGCTGACTCCTGTAATTCTTGATTCTCTTTCTTGGATTATATCCAATACAGAGTCATAAAGAAGCAAACATGCAGATAAAATGGATTGTACCGTATAATCTTCTCTAGCATATATCTAGCAGATTAAGGAGGATTTAGGTATGGCCTGAAGACACATGATATCACAACTTCACTAAAGTTAAATAACCCTGGATTTTATCAGTGCCTAAATGACTATTCTTAAAAACCTCACATACTTTGAGTTGAACTCCATAACAAAGATGGGATTTAATGTAATGAAGATAATAATCATCTAATTGACCACTATGGCATGTATGAAGTAGAGAGTAGATTAAGATTGTGAACAATCCGTGTCCTCAGAAGCTTACTTGGCAATTTCTCATGTCCCCATTGTGGAGACAAATTGGAGAAAGAAGTGGTCCGCACATTGGAGTGAGCCCATGGAGGAAAGGCATGATATACTGTAGATCAAGGGGTGTCAAACTCGCCACATCACGTGATGTATCACGACATATCAGGACTTTTTCTCCATTGCCGGAGCTGGGGTGGGCGCAGTTTCGGCATGATGAATCTGGCCCAGGGGCTGGCAGTTTGACACCCCTGCAGTATATGTATCAAATAAATATGTAACTAACAGGACAGGTCTTCATTTTCTGTTTTCCCATCCCTGTTTATACTACTGCAAATCTCCTCTTCCCTAACTGATGGTTCAGCTTTCCAAAAGTACAAAAGCATTCATTGAAACTTTGAGCTTCTTTCCAACATGCCTATGTTGCAGCTGAACCATCGGTTATCCTTGCTACAAGTTTTTATGGACCTACAATGGAATGTCTGAATATAAAATACAAATGGAATTAAAGACAATAGAAAAAGGGAAGGGAAAGGGAACACAGGGAGGGAAGTGAGAATAGAAAACAAAAGAAACAAAAAGTAGAAGCTTCCAACTTTTTTCAGGGCTGTAAGACTCCTAAGGGAATTACAATATCAACTTTTTACTCATACCAAATAGTAACTACTAGTCATTTCTATAGCAATAACCCATTTAATCATCAAAACACAAAGTTTCATTTTTCTCTCTTCCTAGCTGAAAATCCAGAAACATTTCCAAGTAACAACAAAACTATTTACATTATTTTCCCTAACTGATGTAGTCAACTTCCCCACCATCATCATTTTGATCCATTCCTCCATTGTGGGAGTTGATGCTTCCTTCCATTTTGGGGCAGACAGAATTTTTGCATCTGTCAACATATACAATAAAAGAGTTCCATTTCCCCCCCCCCATTTTTTATCTAATGTCCTAAAAGAAAAAAAAATCAAGGTTTCCATTGTAAGTCCATTTTTAAAATCTTCTGAAGTGAAACACCAATCTGTTCCAAATATTTATTTGCCTTTTCACACACATGTGATAAAAGGTATCTTCCTTGCAATTACATTTCAAGCAAACATTTGAAACACCCTTATACATCTTTGATAATTTATCTGGTGTTAAATACCACTGGTGCATCACTTTGTACAAATTCTCTTTAAGGTTATAATTCAATGTAAATTTCAGTCCGTTAATCTACATATTTTTTCCATTTCTCCAACATTGTGATATAATTAATGTTCCTTGTCCATTGAATTATGCAAAGTTTAAAAGATTCACATTCTACGTTCAACTGTAGCAGCCTTTTATAAACCTTGGCTATAAGATGTTCATCATTAGTATAAAGTACGAAACAAAAACTTTTAATAAAAATGTAATGAATGGTGGAATGTAGGCATCCTGTTGTTTTTGCTTTCATGTTTTAGCATCAAAACAATAATAGTTCAGTGGGAGCACAAAAGAAAAGGTCTATATATAATCAAAAGAGAGAATGCAGCAAAAGGATGATAAGATAGTCATGGATACAAACATCTGGAAAGGAAAAGAGTGAGGACAAAGAAGAAGGAAATAATTACTAAAAAAAAAGTGTCAGCAAATGGCACTTGTATGGATAGGAGACCTAACCATAGAAAGTTGAGCCACTGAGACTTGCTTTCTCAGTCTGCCATATCGAATTGTTCAAAACAGAGTTTCTTAACCTTGGCAATGTGAAGATGGATGAACTTCAACTTAGCTTAATAAAGTTGTCTAAAACTCAGAATTAGTTTCTTTTGCACATGGTAGAGGGCAGCAAAGGATGCTTCATCAGTGATTGTTGTTCCAGCTGGCTAAGGCTTTTGCTTGGGTTTCTATTGAATTTACTAGTATTTGCATATTTCTGCTAAAAAACAGAAAGCTGTTATGTTTTTTTCAAAAGAAAGAAAGTAAAACTCTAATTATTCTGAGTTTGAATCTTTATGTATTATCCTATATTTACAATGCTGAATTAAAGTTGCCAGTGTTTTTTTTCTCATAAGTTTTTCTCCCTGAGTAACTAAAATTATATATTGGGATGTTATGAAAAACTAACTCTTTGAATCTGACCTAGACAGATGCACAAGCATATCATCTGGCTCAGGTTTTTTTTAATAATAACTTACTAATACTAGGAATATTTCTCTTTAATGTGAAATTCAGAAAAATCTGAATGAGGGAAAGAATCAGAGATGATGCAATGTATCCAGAGCCTGAGAGAGAGTTAGAATTGATGAGTCTCTTGATACATTTTTGTTTCTTCTAGTCAAGCCAGACCCACCTTACAACCTGTCCATGTCAGTAATTGATGGCCCTCAGTACATCCTCCACTGGGACTCTAAAATCATCCATACAGTGTTTGATTTGCAAAAGACATATCAGATCTCATACTGGGAAACTGGAAAACCTTCAGAGGTAAGATAGAATAGATTGCTTCATACAGCAAACAGATTATGTTTCTGTTTGCCCTCATTTAATGACTTATCTTTTTTCCCTTCTTCTGAGGCCCATGTTGATAACACCACAAACCAAAAATTTACCTTCACTTCACATTTCCTGGAACTAGGCAAAAATTACATAGCAAAGGTGCGAACAATAGTAAGCGACCCTGACTACCAAGGTTATTGGAGTGAATGGAGTGAGGACTTTGGCTGGCAAACCACCAGTGGTAAGTTAAGAGTGCACACTAATCTTCTTTTGGTCTTTATGGGGAAATAATTTAGGTTATCTTCAGAAGGCAAAATATAATATACAATGCATGCATTTGGCTTGGATTGTGACCCAGAGTCACTTTGATTGTGATGCCACAAAGAAGAGGGAGTCAAGCTATTCTCCAAGGGGCCTGAAGGCAGGACAAGAAGCAATGGATGGAAACTGATCAAGGAGAGAAGCAACCTAGAACTAAGGAGAAACTTCCTGACAGTGAGAACAATTAACCAATGGAACAACCTGCCTCCAGAAGCGGTGAATGCTCCAACACTGGAAGTTTTAAAGAAGAGATTGGACAGCCATTTGTCCGAAATGGTGTAGGGTTTCCTGCCTGAGCAGGGGGTTGGACTCGATGACCTCCAAGGTCCCTTCCAACTTTATTATTATTATTATTATTATTATTATTATTATTATTATTATTATTATTATTACTACTACTACTACTACTACTACTACTATTACTACTACTACTACTACTACATCTTATTTATTTATTTCAAGACAACAATTAGATACTGCTTTTCAGCAAAAGTACTGAAATAATTTAGAAATAAATGCTCTGAATTAAGGAATAGAAATAATGAAAACAGTGAAATAAGCTCCAGTTATGCAACTGTTTAAAAAGTAAATACAATCTATGCAAATTATGTGATTGCATGCAAAAGATCACAGGTTCAGTCCCTGACGTCTCCGGGTAGAGCTGTGAAAATTCCTGCCTAAACTTTTGAGAGATCTTCTCTTTACCAAACTAAGTGCTGTGGTGACACAGTGGTTAGAAAGCAGAATTGCAGGCTACTTCTGCTGACTGCCAGCTACCTGCAGTTCAGCAGTTCGAATTTCACCAGCTCAAGGTTGACCCAGCCTTCCATCCTTCCAAGTTTGGTACAATGAGGATCCAGATTGTTGGGGGAAATATGCTGACTCAATAAACTGCTTAGAGAAGGCTGCAAAGCACTGTGAAGCAGTATAGAAGTCTAAGTGCTATTGCTATGGCTATAGCAGAAGTGGAACAGTATCCTGGATGACATATAGTTTCCCAGGTATCATCAAAGACAGCCCACTTGGATGTCATTCCACACTATACTGTGTGGTCCGATCCGGTTGTTGTTGTTCTTTTCTTCCTAAAACTTGCTTTAATAGTTCATTTAATTGATTTTCTTTTTTTATACTCTGTTCTGTTTTAGGTTTCCCTCTCTGGGGTATCTTGCTAATAACAGTGGTCTGTATCATTCTGATGATGGGAGGAATCTGCTTTTGCCAAAAATATCTTCTCAGGTATGCATGATGTACATTTTAACACCTTGGCATAACAGAGGTGGGAAAATAGTGTTAAAAGAAAGTATTGCGTTCAAAATCAGACCAGGTCATCCAAAGAACACACAGGATAAGTCACTGGGAGCAGAGGCATAGTGGATTCGGGAGCTCACATGAAGTACAGCAATCCAAGGTTGCAGCAGAGTTATAGCTGTCAAGTTATTATCTTTCTGTCTTGTCCTTTATTCCTCACAGAAACAGAGCCCACCCACTAGGAATCATTGGAAACTATGATTAGCTGGATGACCAAAAGGGAGGCTTGGTGGCTAGGCACCCTGCTGATTTTGTGCAGGTTTTCCACTTATTTACCATATCAACTGGCTTGCTGTTTAATTAACAGTTGCAGCTGGAGGTGGCAATCATAGAAGAAGGGATCTTTTGTCTATCAGAAAAGGAATATATACCACCGTTGGCAGGTCTCTACCTCTTTGTCAAGTTCCTTATCTTTTGTTTTAGTGTATTTTTTTTGTGTTTTTTGCCCTGGAAATAGCTGTGAGATTGGGATCTTAGGAACAAGGGAGGATTGAATGGAAGATTCCTTCCCACAATAGCAAGTGGCTATGCTAAGGGTACTCTGCTCATCTCCCTTTACTTAAATCTTAGGGTGACATTCCCCAATTTGTTACATTTAGATATGCTGAGATGACAAGTTACAGAATTCTAGCTGAGTATTCTAGGAGTTGTAGTCACAATGCATCTAGAAAGCACTAGAATGGAGTTAGCTGTTTCAAATTTTGAAGGCAATTTCAAGCATTATATGAAAGTTCCTTTGCCATATAGCCAAAGATCTGAGGGCTGCTTGGATTGGGGGTTTCAGAAATTTGCAAACTAAACAATCTGGACTGAATTTTGATATCATAATTTGTAACTAGGTACAAGGGTTTAAATAAAATTACTCTATTGCCATTATCTCATCACTTTCCCCGTGTATGAACCCAGCAAATTTTGTTTAGAGAAAACCTAAGAATTTCTGCTAGCTCAACAATGTAAGGCCTATGTTTTGTAGAATTATTTTTTTGAACATGACATAATTGGGTTAAACTGAGCTTTCTTTGCCTCTCTGACATTATCTGCAATTGTCCCAAGCCACTGTGAAGTCTTTGCAGACTTCACTTCCATTATACAGCCTCAGGTCTGAATAGTTCTCTGTAATCTTGTTCCAGTAGCTGTACTCTTTGGGAGTAAATGCATGTACATTGCTACTTGCATACTTTCCAGTGAAAATTCCAAGTAACATAAAGCACATCCTTTTTCAGTGTGCTGTATTTCAGTTAGGTTCAGTTTGTACCAGGTTGGATTTAAATGTTACTTTGATTTGCCATATTTTTTTGCACTGGCTACATAAGACTATTTTGTTTTGCTTAGATTGTGTAATGTCACTTGGCCCAGGTAAGTTATTTGTATAAGTAGATATACAACATCTTGGGCAATAAACTATTATATGACACCCAGGATCATTTTCTTCATTCCATTCATCCTCAACAAATATCACTCACTATAATTGCATAATTTCTCTGCATAATTTCTCCTCCCAACAAATGCTGGGTTCATTCAACCTTTCTATCAAAACTTTTTAGTCTTCTGAGAAACTCAGTCAAAATTTCACTGTGGGTGGGAGGCTGCATGAAAGATTCATCTAGCATCCTTTACAAATGTATTTGTGGTCAAAGTCTTATTTACTGTTGCTTGCTGTTGTTTATTTTTTTTAAAAAAAATCTTAAGTTTACGATTAAGGACTGAAGGCAAATTCACAGGGTGTTTTGAGACATGTTGATCTGAAGGTCTCTAATAGCTTACAAATAGTTAACAAGCAATTTCTGAAAGTGATTGGGAAAAAAAGCTTGTGAGCTTAATAGTCTTTAAAAGGCCCAACGGTGGTTGCAAGCAAGATGGCTATTCCCATTGTCTCCCAGTGCTTTAAAAAAAACCACCTGGAATCAACAAGGAGCAAGTATATGGAGCACATTGGGAAATCTCTCTTCTTTTCCTTATCTGGAGAGGTTCCAGACCTCTCTTCATTTTTTGCTATAGTTTTGTTCTTTGCTTTGTGTTTCATGGAGCCATCTTCAGTCTGCCATTTCTACCTCCAAACCAATTCAATCAGTTCTTTGCCCTGTCCTTACTCACTTTTGGGAGGGAGGTCCTCAAAGGCCATGGGTAACTATAAAATGGAAACAGATGAAATACAGGTGCAATCAACTGGAGCCAGTTTCTCATTTGAGATGTTGAAGTGAAACTGTCTGATGGGGTTAAGGATTCTAGAGCCTAAGCCAAATATTGCCCTTTTCCATTTTGCAACTGGCTCCTGCTTTCTTGGTTCATCTCTCTTTTCTGCTGACCTCGGTTCCAGGATTTGGAGCAGATCCCAAGTCCTTCAGATTTTATCAGCTCCAAGTCAATATGGTGATTTTAAAGAATGATAGGAGATGTCTTGTAACCCCCAGATTTAAACCAAAGAAAATTACCTAAGATAAGTAGAATGGCAGCAAAAGCTAGGCTGGCTATCAGTGAATATGGAGTGGGGACTTGACTGCCCACTCAATATTGCTTTTGTGTGGCAGCTGCAAAAGTAAAGGTGAGGTTTTGGTGCTGGTTGAACAGAGTCAGGTATAATTGTGGTGGTTCTCTGAATTAAATATATGCTTTTGCTACAGCAAGAAAAAGAAATGGGAAGCAAACATTCCAAGTCCTCCGAAGACGTTTCTTCTCCCCAGTTTTTTTCCGGTAAGAAAAATCTTCTTAAAACAGGTCTTATTAGCATATAATACAGTTTTAAGCCAAAATAAAAGAAAAAAAATGAAAGAAATATAAGTTATCTAAAACAGATTCTTTAGCAGCCAAACAGAATCTAGGCTTGATGTTAGATCACACCCTGGCCAAGGGCTAGCAGTGATGGGTATGATGACTTAGGAGCCAAAGTTGGGAAAGGCTGTTCTTAGGGCACATCCAGGTAACAGGCAGAACTTGCTGCCCTTCAGTCTACAAAGCTGTGGAATCGAAATCTAGAAGGACATAAGCATATGGCCCATATGGTGATATAAAAGAAGAAACAAACCCAAATTGAAAAAAGTCCCATGGAGCTCCTAAAGCTGCACAATGGGAGTTTGCACATGGATGAGAAAAGAGTCACTATTCTACTGTACCACGAAACAGGCTGGGTCTTGGCACCATTGCTAGACCTTATTTTGGTAAATCTTGTGCTTATAATTTCACAAATAGCCTTGCCTATGTTTTAAACATTGCAATATTTGGCCAGAGATTTAATCTTTTAAAATCACTCCCCTAAAGATCAACACTTTTAACTACTTAAGTCAATAAGGAAACAATATACTAGCATAGCTAATGTTGCACCATCTTGCTTTTTTGCTATCTGTACCTTTTGATTGCTGGCTTCTGCAGAACTCCTAGTACTGTAGATAACATGGAGCAGCAAACAGCTGAGGAGGAGAACCAGTGGCCCATAAATCCCCAAAAGATAATCTCTTAATTTAGTATTTAGTTAAAGTTTATTTATTCTGTTTGGTTTTTGGATTAAGGATTTTTTCGGAATTGGCGGATCAAGTGGCATGTTGTACATCCCTGAATATTGTGTTCCTCCCCAACATACACTTATAAAAAATGTAAAATGACGGATCAGGGGAATCTGGATAAGAAGGATAAATCAACTCAGGAAATAGGCAGAAGCATGCCCAAACCTGCTTAACTTGAAACTGCTGTTGTAGCCACTTTCTATTCAAAATAGCAACTCTCAAATTTACCTTGCTTTATGTGAATTCAAACAAGCTATGCAGTGTAGAAGAGAAGAATTCTGTATGTGTGAAGTCAGTTGCATATGAATACCAAGTCTGCAGACACAGAACTGCTGTGGGACATCGCTAGACATGAAAAACATGTTGAGATGGTTAGGTTTACAGAATACAGAATGACAGAGTTGGAAGGGACCTTGGAGGTCTTCTAGTCCAATCCCCTGCTGAAGTACGAGACCCTATACCATTCCAAACAAATGGCTGTCCGATTTCTTCTTAAAAACCTCTTGTGATGGAGCCAAGCCATTTCACTGATTAAATGTTCTGTCAGGAAATTTGTCCTTAAGTCTAGATTGGAACTTGCTTTGATAAAGTTCTATCTGTTACCAACTGTTCGTCATATGTTTTAGTTTCGAACCCCCTAATCATTTTAGTTCTTCTTCTCTGCAACCTTTTTAAAGTCTCAAAGTCTTTTTTGTATTGTGGTGACCAAAACTGGATGCAGTATTTCAAATGTGTTGTGTGTACAGGTCTTTTTGAACATCTCTTTCTTTTAGCATTTTCATCTAGATTGGGCTTGTTTCATTTTAGAAAGTGCAATTGGCGAACCATTCAGAAGATAGCAGTGCTTTAGCAAAGGAAGAAATCAACTATTCCAGTAAACTGGAGAGGTGAGTATAAAAAACTGAGAGACATGCTACTGGAAGTCCAGTTCAAAGCATTTTCACAAAACTATAAAGGAAGTGAACTATTAACTTAGAGATCCCTAGTATTGTGTTTGGTGTTGAGCCAATGTTCAACACACCAAAGAGAAGAAATTAGACCTCAGTTTAATTTATGAAAGCCTATATTCAATTATTTAAAGAATCGTAGTGGCACAGTGGTTAGAATGCAGTATTGCAGACTAACTCTGCCCACTGCCAGCAGTTCAATCATGACTGGCTCAAGGTTGACTCAGTCCTCCATCCTTCCAAGGTCAGCAAAATGAAAACCCAGATTTTTGGGGGCAATATGATGACTCTGTAAGCTGCTTAGAAAAGGCTATAAAGCACTATGAAGCTTTATATATAAGTATATAAATCTAAGTGCTATTGCCATTAACAACTAGGATTTAGGCAGGATTTATGCTAGAATCTTTGCATGTGGGAGGATCCTCACTCACAATATTTCCTTCAAAATTCAATTACCTTTTAGAAGACACACACAATAAATACACTTCTAATTATTACTGTATATAAAAATCTGAAGCTGAGGCAAGAACCAAAATATTGGGAATGTAAAAGAAGCATAAAGGCCAAGTGCTTTTTAATTATGTCAGAACAGCCCCTTTGTGGATTCCAATTCTACCATTTTAAAGAAGTCCAGTAATTTTCTTTAGTGTTCAGATTTGTGAAAAAGTGAAATTGAAAATTGAAAAGTATAGCATTTGTAGACAGGTTTATATTTTTGTATTTGCACATCTCAAGTTACTTTTCAGTAAGAAAGTCAATAATTTCTTTCCTGCTGAGATTTTTAACCAAGTGAGTTTTGAATACTCTTTGTAGATTCATAGAATTAGCAATTAACCTTTTTCTGGCCCTGTATAGCTGGTAGCCGGTTTGCACTTTGCACTTGCAAGCAGGCAGTTGGAGCCTGAAGCCAATCTACCTAGGAATACTGCAAGACTGAAACACAGTTTACTTAGCAGTCCAGAGAGGCTACCATCCCCTTGAAAAAAACAAGTTGTAAATGTTTATAGAGAAGCATAAAATATTAAAAGAAAAATATAACCAGGAAAATGAATTAGGCTGTTTGCTTATGGAGGAGCCAGAGGTTACAATGATGAGCTTAAACAAAGCAAAAACTCTGTAGATTGAATCTTACATTCAGTCAATGAGAAAGATTATTAAGTTGTAAAAAAGGGTAATTTGACCATAAATTCATGAAACTGATTTCTGAAGAAATACTATAATTCAATGATTCCATCCACCACAGGAACTTTGTATTTCTCTATGGAAAAGGTCCCAAAGATTCATGATAATGTTGCACCAGTTTGAGATTCTGGAAAGGCTGGGCATTATCAGAAACCTAGGAAGTTTTGGGAGGAACTTCTAGTCCATGAGGAGAAGTATTCATTACTATAGCAATCTTGGATAGTCATATATTAGTCCTTAACTTACGACTGGACACTAAATGACTGTTTGAAGTTACAATGGACCCTCCTCCAAAAACTACTTATGATTTAATTTTGAAGTTAGGACAGCCTCACCCACCTGCAGTCAGGGGATACCTTTTGGCTACTTGGCAACCTGCTCAACTTTATGGCCATTTGCAGCATCCCAGGGTAGTGTGATTTTTGATGGTTTTTGCTGGTTTCCAGCATTTGCTTCCAGTTTGTGGCAAAAAAATGCCCACTGGATAACAAATCTTTGCTTAATGACTGTAGAGTTTACTTAATGACCGCTGTAAAAAAATGTCATAAAATTGGGTCCAATCACGTGATGATCCAGTTAACAACAATTTATGGCTATAATTCTAGGTTCAATTAAGGTCTAAGTCGATGACTACCTATAGTGACTGTTTTAATGGTTTTAAACACATGTTGATTTGATCGTGCTCTGTGTAACCATTAAACTAGCAGAGCCAGTACTATTTACAAATCATAAAGGTTTCAATAAATTTTTTTGCCTTATATCTGGGACCATGAAAAAGAGTCTGGATGAAGAAGGTTTCTTCTACCATTTGAGAGTACTTTTAAAAATGAAATGTTATGGCTATTTGTATTATTTCACTTGTCTCTATCAGTCTGCAAGGGCATGGCTTTGCACACTTTAAATTTGAAAAATACTGCTCTAAAGCATCCTGTGAATGAGGTAGAAATATAAAAACCTATTTTGCAAAGAAAAAATAAACTTCCAGGAAACTGGAAGACTTTGGTGTAGTTTTAAATACAGGTAGTCCTTGACTTACGACCACAATTGAGTCCAAAATTTCAGTTGCTACGTGAGATGTTTATTACGTGAGTTTTGCCTCATTTTACGATCTTTCTTGCCACATTTGTTAAGTGAATCACTGCAGTTGTTAAGTTAGTAATACTGTTGTTAAGTGAATCTGACTCTCTCATTGACTTTGCTCGTCAGAAGATCGCAAAAGGAGATCACATGACCCCAGGACACTGCAACCATCCTAAATATGACTCCGTTGCCAAACATCTGAATTTTGATCATGAGACCATGGGGATGCTGCAATGGTCATAAGTGTGAAAAAGGTCATAAGTCACTTTTTTCAGTGCTGTTGTAACTTTGAATTGTCACTAAATGAACTGGTGTAAGTTGAGGACTACCTGTACAAAGTATCATTTAATTCTCCCTCTTAAAGACATTTTTATTGTCCCACTTGCCATTTCTTTCTCATCTAAGCCTTGATGTGTTCTATTTGAGGCTTTATATCTAATGATAATTGTCCTTTGGTTACTTTCTTCCCTGTTGCAGGGAATTACTGATTGGCAGCCCAGCAGCTATTGAAGATGAGTTCAAGAAAACACCACAATTGCTTTGGTCTCAGAATATGAAAAAGATAGACCTTCTCAATAAAGCCAATGCAGTCCAGACATGTACTAATCCCAATACACAAACATTTGATTTTAATGGCCCATACATGTATTCCTCTGCAGAATCTTTTGCACATACTGTTCAGCAGGATTTGAAAGTTACTCCTTCAGAAGTGAAGGAAACACCAGTGTCTTTGCGATGTATAGGATTACAGACGTCTTTGTCTCTTCAGCAACAGCCAGGAGGGGAAAAGGAAAATACTTTGTCTGACTCTGATGTACATCAGCAGGTGGAAGAGAAGCTGCTGTTTCCTACAGGACAAGAAGCATCTCAAATCCAGGAGACAGGTGGACAGTTGAAGAAAGAGAAAACTACAGGATGTCTTTCCAGCTCAAATAGCCACTGTCAAAATTTGCCACTAGATTACATTGCTACAGTAGATCTCTCAATAAGCAAAGAAAAGGGATGTTTATTGCCATTACCTGTGTTGGTCTCAGAGGAAAGAATGCTTCCTTGTGCTAACACAGCAACAGTTGCTGCACACATGCCCAAAACTAAGGAAAATCTCTCAAATTCAGAGTTATGTCAAAAGACATTAAAACCAACCCCCCCAGTTATGGATCAAAGTATCAGTGATCTCTCAGCAATATCCCAGGAAGAATCTAGTGACTATCTTATGAGTTTTTCTGCTGCCTCAGGTGCTGTACCAAAGGACGGATTAGCTTTTGCCATGGAGGAATCTAAGCAGGACATTCTTATATTCAATGTTGGCGGCAGAAGCCCACTTTTCTTATATCAAGAGGGTGAATACTGCTTCTTTCCTGGCTCCAAGACCAAAGAAGACAGTAAGGGTCAAGAAGCACCTGTGGGCCACCAGCCTCCAGAAAGCTTTCCAAAAGTCACCAAATACCCTTTGGAGACAAAATTTGCTGACAGTAAGTTACAGGTCATCTCCCAGGTCTGCCAAGATGTGTGAAACATGTTCCTCAATAAAAACTCCCAAGTCCGTGAATACATAATCTTGCTCTCTTTTATGCTGTGGAAGGATTATTTTTTATATAATCAGAAGAAAACAAACTGATATCAAATATATGTCAGAGAGAGAAGCAAACTATGATAATATGACTTTGCTTTTGGTATATAACAGTCACTGGATTTCTTTCATAATGTCCTCTTTTCAACAATAAAATTCTCATTAGAAAACAAATGGTTTTGATCTAGCCTATTGGGCAGAAGTCAATAATTATTGTCTTATACAATGGATTTTATTAATAAAAAGTTTACCCTGCAAAAACATGCTTCACTATGGAAAACTTCCTCATTGCTGAGGCAATATTTTGGGTATTATTGCATTGTTTTCATACTACGTCCACTTCTACCAGTAAAGGTTGGACTTTCCTTTGCAGATATCAGCCTGCAGTTGGACTGAATATTTAGGAAGGTATCAACCACCCCAGAAGTTTTATGATTTTTTTATGTGCAATTAAAAAGAAGTCTACATCTTCCGCAAAGCTTTCATATGTTACACGACTAATTAAGAGTCACCAACTTTTAAACTGGATCCATGAATAATACATTTGGTAGCAAATAGTTATGTAATTATGTACTTTTAAAACTTTATAGGCTAGTTTGTATAATCAAGTGTCTATAAAGTGTCAGTAATAGGACAAACAAGCTTTCCGTATTCATCTGAACCTACTTGTAGTGTTATCAATACAGATAAGTACATAGAAGGACAGAGACTGCAATGAGATTTATTTCACTGCGAGGGAGAGGCAGATAACTTTCACCAAGGGCTCATATGCCTCTTTTATGCCTTTTTAGGATTTGCTGCCTTTGTTCTTTTCCCCATATTTTTGCTCCAAAGCTTTCTGCAGGTTAAGATTTAGGGCATTTTTCTGGAACCATCTCCCTAATGAGATACAAAATAACAACAACAGCAACAATCATCATCAAAATTATAATAAAATATTATTGGACAAGCTACAAATTCAAGAATTTTCTACATACTTTTTTAAGCTTAAAAAAAAATCCTATGCTGATTCAGAATCATTGCTAGACTGGACTGCATTTTTATTGAGCTCTACATCCTTACCTTTTTGGAGAAGCTGGGAAAGAGTCACCAATGAAAAAGTAACAGCAAAACTGCTTCTATAGACATTGTAGTAAAATTATGTAAGGATCATTGAAAGGGAATACTGTACAGAAATTCATATAAACTATTTTAAATCTGTTCCTAAGCATATAGTTTGAAGTTTGTAAACTAGGAAATGGATGAAATCTAAATATTTAGATTATAATAATACTGAAGATCTATACATAATCTACTGATAACATTGACAAGAAGAAAAGCTACGCATGACTTCTGGTTTGCTGCTGCAGCTGCCGTGGCTGCTGGAAGACGAGCTCTGTCTTCCATGTCTGATTTTGCACCACTGGGGAACCCTGGAAAGGGTCGAAAGTTGCCCTGTAGGAGCGACAAGCACAGAGCGGATCCCCGCTTGATTGCAGAAGGGTGGTAGCCCTTCCGCTTGATCCGGGGCAGCCCTCTAAACAGGCGGACGAAAGACCGGCCATAGAAATATGGCCCGTCACTAGGCTGCAGACAATCAAAGTCAAACTTACTACCAGACACCTATAAAGCAGCATGGATGAGACTGAGTGAGATCTGAACCTTTCTTCAATCCTAATTATTTTTTCCACCTGTATAAGCTGCCCAAAGTATTTTTTCCCCTGTGGAGAGAGGGAAGGGAAATTGTATCCCACCCTCTAAAAACAGTGGCGACTGACTATCCAGGAGAGTTTAAAACTCTGAAAGAATAACTTGATTCTAACTGGATTTTTATCTTTCTAAAATTTGAGGACTAAAAGATTTCTTATTCTTATTGAAGATTTGGGTTTTTACCTACAAAAAAAGAAGTAAAATTGAAAAAGGATTATAAAAATTTTGGACTTAAAAAAAACCAAAACAAAAATGTTAAATGATGTGGGCGACATCTTGTGGCTAAACCTGATATTACAACTTGTTATTGTCTAAAAGAGACTTGGCTTGAAGCCCAAACTATAGATAAGACTTTCGCAACCTTAACAGATATCAGCTGTGAGAAGCCCAGCTGTGTTCCATACTCAGTGACAAAATTATTTTCCTTCTCTGATTGTAAAGCCTTTAATCTAACACACCACTAAGAGAACATGGATGAAGATCAGGAACAGATTCTTTTTATGTTGAAAGCAATTTATGAAACTATTCTTACAGCTACTGATGAAATAAGAAGCTACAGAAAAGAACAAGATGTCAGCCTAGATATATGAACCCAAACTTTAATTACAACTAAAGAATAAGCTACACAGAATATAATAGAAGAAGTGGAACAATCAAATACTGTGATAGAAGATTCAACTGATCAACAAACACAGTTAACGGAAAACCCAGAAAAGGGACTGATAACACTGAAAATGGAAAAGACTTTCTATATAAACCAGAAGAAACCTGAGGATCAGGAAAAAGAACAGACTGAAGGGATGATAAACATTTCAGGACAACTACGTAAAGATGGAAAAATAGAGATATGATTTGTTAGCTCTTCCAAAAAAATGGCGACTGGATGGCCTCTTTTATCTCAAACAACATATATAATAACAGAGGGAGAACTATTTCATGACTTAAAAGCATGGATATGGAAGGTGAGTTGGCAAAGAAAGAAAGCTAGAATAAAACTGAAGAAAATTGGGGTTGTGATTTATTAATGAGGATTAAAATAGAATATACTCAAATAGACAAGATGTGTACTTTGAGTACTAGATTTTGTTATGAACTGAGATAAAGAAAACTTTGGTCATTTAAAACTTGGAAGTATAAATATCAAAAGTTAAATTTGAATATTGATTTGTTTATAAAGGTTGAATGTAAAAGTAATTAAGATATATATAAGCTAAACATTTATTGATAAATGTAATAAACATGTTTTTACTTAGCTGATATAAGAACTGTATTAGCTTAAATATGAGATAGTAGACATTAAGAGAAAAAGAGGAAGTATTCGATGTTGAAACAAGAGAAATTTTGGTTACTAAACTTAAGACATTTGGAAATTAATAGAAAATAAGGAAGTTATACTGCATTATTAATTAGATGATGTAAGATGGTGAGAAATAGAATATATTCAAATAGATAAGACATGTATCCTGAATATTAGACTTTGGGATGAATTGTGATAAAGGGAATTTTGGTCACTTAAAACTTGGAAATTATAAATATCAAATGTTAAATTTAAATATTAATGGGAAACTAAAAATTGGGAAAAACTAATTAGGACATTGATTGTCTATAAAAACTGAATGTTAAAATAACCAGGATGTGTATAACCTAAAAATTATTAATAAATGTAAGAATGTTATTTTTATTTAATTGATATAGTAAGAATTGTATTAGTTTAAACATGAGACAGTAAATACTAAGGGGGAAAGAGAGGAAATATTTAATGTGGTAGTATCTTGTACTAAAGATACTTGTATGTCATTGAATTTTTGATTAACTCAGCCACCACTTTGCTTTTTAAATACTTAAATGTAAAATTAGAAAATCAATAAACCATTAAAAAAAAGAAAAGCTAAGCATGTTTCCTTCTAGTTTTCCTTTGCAGTTTCTAGATTCCCTTACCTAGATCATCAGTCTTCCTTCCATGCCAGCGTTTGGGATCCCGTACTGCCCTCTTTATTACATCAGGGGTATAAGAATCCTTCATCAAACTTTTTGTTTCTAATGGTCCTCCTACAGAAAGAATATTTGGACATTGTTCACTTCTGCTGTAATACTTTTTGCTCTAAATCACTGGAATCAAGAGAGATTGAAGACTTCAATTACTTAATTATCCTTCAATCATTTTCAATTATAACAACATTATTATATTTATAATAATCTTCCTTTTAATAAAAATTATTCATTTAATTAATTCTTCAAATACCCAAAGTCTTTATCATTTCAGCAAGGTAAAAAAAAGAAAAAAGGAAAAATTCCCATCTTCCATAAAGTTAACAAGTAAATTCTATCATTTCATCAAACTACACCTATAAGAAATCATTTTAATCCCTTAATAAGGTTTACAACTTCAGTTACTTAGTTATCATTCAATTATTTATCAAATATACCATTAACAATAAGTCCACCTCCTTCAACCATTATTAAATCAAAAAAAGAAAAAAAAAGGGAACCTTTAGGACCTTAATTCCCATCCATTCATAGTTAAGTCAAACAAATTCAATTATTACAACATTATCATATTTATAATAGTCTTCCTTCGTCATTAAATCANATATTTGAAGAACTAACTAAATGAATAATTTTTATTAATACGGAGGAGATGGATTGTTTAAGTTTAGACTTTGGAGTTAGAGATATTAATATTTGTTTACATGTATTTGAATATTAGCCTAGGTTGGTTTGGGAAGTCCGGGGGGTGGGGGGATGGGATATAACATTGTGTAATATTTGTGATGTATTTCTTTTTTTTTATGATAAAAACAATAAAATTTTACATTGAAAAAAGAGAGATTGAAGACAAACAGGAAAAGGTTAGTCATACTCAGGGCTTTTTTTGTCATAGAACGCCCAGAACGGAGCTCCGGCACCTTTTTTGGATGGAACCTTGTAGGGTAGGCAAGGCGGGTTGTATGACGTGTATGAGTTCCAGCACCTTTTTTTTTTTACAAAAAAAGCACTGGTCATACTTTATTGAATTTTAAGCAGTGACAGGTTTTTATATCTGATACTGACTAAATTTGGGGTTGTGGTCAAATCTTTTGTTGGGAGAAATACTTTTTGATATGATCATTTGCATATTAAGCAAAGCAAAACAAAACAAAAAAAAACAAAAACAAAAGGCAACTTCAGTGTTTTGAATAACAATGCTCATGACTGCAATTTGGGTGCTTGGCAACCAATTTGCATTTACAACTGGTTGCAATGTGTCTTGCAGT